GCTGGACACAGTCACAGGTAACCCCAGAGTCTAAATCAGAGTCCTGTAATCTGATAAAAAAATATTAAACTTGTTGCTGCCTTTCATAGTGTGTAACTTGAAGGCCCTGAGTACTCTGAGTACTTTCTCCCACACTGGAAACACTGGGATGATCACATTATTTGAACATTACCTAATAAGACTGATTCAGCACAGACAGTTATGTTAAACTTTCCTAGCAGTCCTTCACAAACAGGGAACAGTCTGTCTATTCTCTCCATCTGTCAGCTGCTGCTGGCTCTTCCTCCTCCTCTTCCTCACACACTGCTGAGTTTGTCCTGGTGGATCATCAGGGCTGCAAAGCCTCACAGATGATGTGCAGCAGTGGGTCCCTCAGTCTGTCCTCACTCTGGACACTTGCAGTCGTCACACATGGAAATCAAATGTGTGATAAGCTGCAGGATTCAAACACAAGTGTAACTTATAAACACATGTTCATACTTTTATTCCACAATCAGAGAGAAAGAAACAGAGAGAGAGTGCAGGACAGACAGACAGGTGACAGTCTCAGCTGTATACACTGCTACAAACAGGAGGATTTAGTGTTTGTGTTATTACGAGTGTAAACAAGAGTATCAGATGGTGCAGTGGACACATGTGTGACTGCTGTGATTAAAGCATCTTTCTTTCAGGGCAGAGGCAGCAGTGAGTCAGCTCCAATAGACTTCCATGTTAAAATGTTTAAAGGCTTAATGTTAGCTTTCTTAGGGGCGTGGCCTCTTTGACTGACAGATGCATGGTGACACACCATGACCGTGTTTGTGCTGTTGGAGCCCTTTAGAGCACTTTTAATAACATCATGTGGCCAATAATATGGCTGCTGTGAGGTTACCGTAGTAACAGAGCCTCCAGGAAGGCGGAGCTCCAGGTTTGGTGAAATTCAAGGATTTTAATTGGATGTTACTGAGCACTGATTGGCAGCCATCTGTGTGATGCTCGTCTTCATAAAGAAGGATTATTTTGAACTGTTAATCATGCAAAGCTACTCAATGAGTCCAGAAGTATGGGCTCCTCACACACACAGAGCCTGTTATGACACCTCTGCAGCAGCAGGTTAAAGTTAACTTCCTGTAGCCAGTGACACTAACCTCAGAACGTGTGTGTGTCTGTGTGTGTGTCTCAGATGCTGGATCAGGATCTGGAGATGGAGGTAAACAGCTGCATGTTTGCTCTGGTTTGTTTCTGAGTGTTTTTAAGTCTCTGAGTTGAAGCAGACGAGCTGAGCGGCGTTTGTGTGTCTGCAGACGACGAAGGCTCCGGCCGCGGGAAAAAGACCTCCAAATGTGGGAGCTGCAAGTTTGGAGCCGAGTGTGATGAAGACTCTGAGGATATGATGTGAGCACGCACACACACACACACACACACACACACTCAGTGTTAGGAGTGAGCCTGAACGAGCGTGTGTGTGTGTGTATCCAGCTGCATGTGTAACATCGTGTGCAACGGCCACAACGACAACCCGGTGTGCGGCAGCGACGGCGTCACCTACGACACGCCCTGTCACGTCCGGGAGGTGTCCTGCCTCAAACAGCTCAAGATCGACATCAAGCACGTCGGACGCTGCCATGGTAACAGCATCACAGCAAACACTCCTTCATCCATCACCTTCACCTTCATCATCATCATCTACTCACAGCAGGAGAGAGAGGAGGAAATATGGAGGAGGGGGGTGGAGCTAAGGGGAGGAAGATGAGAGTCAGGAGGGAAAACGTCTCAGTTCATTTATTTTGAATGATGATCTCAACACACACACACCCGCACTACACACTAACTACACACTCACTACACATGCAACACACACGCACAACACACACACACACACGCACACACACACACGCACACACACACACACGCACACACACACACACACGCACGCACACACGCGCACACACACACACACGCACACACACACACACACACACACACACACACACACACACACACACACACACACACACACACTCACTCACACACACACACACACACACACACGACGCACACTGACGCACACACACGCACACACGACGCACACACAGACCCACACACTCCCACACTCACACACTACTCACACACACACACACACACACTGATTATCGCGGCTGGCTGAACAAACAGCTGGTCTCATTTTAATGCCACGACCTCCTGCTCCACATTTTCTCTTCTTTGTTCTGTCCTCCTCCACCTCCTCCTCCTCCTGCTCCTCCTCCTCCTCCTGCTCCTGCTCCTCCTCCTGCTCTCCTGCTCCTCCTCCTCCTCCACCTCCTCCTCCTGCTCCTCCTCCTGCTCCTCCTCCTGCTCCTCCTCTTCTTCTCCTCCCCTTCTCTCATTTCCATCTGTCCTTCTTTTTCTTTGTACATGTACAATTTTATTCTATTCTTCACTTCTTCTTTATTTATTTTAACTTTGTTTCTTCTTCGTCTTTTATCATCTTCTTCATTTTCTTCCCTTTTTGCCTTTTATTCTCTCTCCTCCTTTCCTCCCCTTCTTTCTTCAGATTTTTTACTTTCTTCTTCTCCTTTGCAGATTATTTCTTCTTCACTGCTAATTTTCTTCCTCCTCTTTTCTATTTTTTCTTCTTCTTATTTTTTATTCACCTTTTGTTTTTTTTGCTGCTCATCATCTTCCTTGTTTCTCTTCTTTCCTTCCTGTTAAACGCTCACTTGCTTCATCTTCCTTGTTTTCTTTGTCTTCTTCTTTCTTCACTGATTCTTCTTCTTCTCCTTCTTTGACTTGGACTTCCTTCTGTTTTCTCGGCTCGAGTTTGAAATAAGCGGAGTTGTTAAAAACATCTGACACGCCGACTCTAGAAGCCTGCGTTCCAGTTATTATGACTCTTAATGAATTTTTGGATTTTAAGTAAATAATTCAGATGTTCATTTTAATAAAATGAGGTGGTCTGTCCACACAGGTGTGGTTTTATGAGTTTAACCAGCAGATCTCAGAATCGTCCAAAAACCCAGCGTCACAGTTTCAAATGGTACGATAAAAAAAAACGTGTTTGATTAAAACTCGAGTGCTGAAGAATAAAAGCTCCCGTGATGCTGTTCAGTAAAGAAACTGCATGGTGCGACAAAACACATCAGATACACATGAGCCAGGTCATGATAAGCATGAGCGTAATCTTTGTGTAGCTTTTTAAATATGAACGCATGAACATTAAAGTTGTGAACGGTTCAGAACCAACGAGACGTCTCTGCAGCGCTGACGGAGCTTCAGCCTGAGGCCAGAAAAGTGTGTGAGGGAATCAGTACACGTTTATATATCTTTGTGGGGACCAGACATTAGAACGCTACCAACAGTCCTTATGGGGACAAAACGCCCGATGAGTTTGTTTTTGAGACTCATCATGTGGTTTTAGTGTCAGGGTTACAGATGGGTTAGGGTCAGGCTGAGGGTCAGCATTATGTTAATAAGATGCCCTCACTAAGATATGGAAACCAGTGTGTGTGTGTGTGTGCGTGTGTGTGTATATGTGTGTGTGTGTGTGTGTGGTTGTTTGTCTGTGCCTGTGGTGTGTTCACACATCAATCACAGCGAGCGTCTGAAACCTGAAGTGTGCTTATTATAGGCTAAAGAAGAGGGTGAGTTACCGTGGTAACAGGGCCCCTCTGACATGATGTTGATGGCTCTTTGTTTCTTGCACGCCGCTCTCCTCAGGAAACACTCGTTCTGGTACGTGTCTCCGTTGGAGCCGCACACGGGGACGTACTTCTTATTGCACTGAAACACAAAGTAACTTTATCACAGCACTCAGACACACACAGGACTCTGAGGGAGCCTGAAGGTAACACCTCATTCACGATGCAGGCAGGCTCGCTGCTGATTGGTCAGTGCGCTGCGCTCTAACCAAATTCAAAAATCTGTGCACAATGCCAAAGACAGCACAGTTAGCATGTGTAAACAATGTGCACCCTGCTGTGTGACCAGCTCACAATGATCACGTTTCAGAAGCTTTAATCACATCTGTAACAGCAGCTGTAACACACACATAAAAAAGCTGTGATTGGTTTCATTCAGCAAGCATTTAATAGCACTGTGGAGACTACACCCGAGCACTGCAGCCTGTAGGGGGCGCCAAGGTGTAGAAGTGAGTGTGTGTAACTCACGTGGAACTGACAGACACACTTGATGTCGGCGCCATTCTCGCGGCAGGTTCCTCCAAAGCGACACGTCCCGGTGTCGCACACGCGCAGGTCGCTTTTCTTCTCTGACAAATCTGGAAAAAAACAAAGCGGATCATTCTTACACCACAGCTATCGTCCCGCGATTTCAACTAAACAAAACTTTGCATGAAATAAAAGTGGTCAGTCTGCGGGATAAACCGAGTCCTGGTTCAGCTCTGAGCTCTGTCCTGCTGACAGGTCTGAGCTTCAGCTGATGCATGGCTGGTGTACAGAGGAGCTCACGGTCCACTCAGATCATCAGTGACGATGATCACCTAATCACCTACAGTGAACAGAATTCAAACAGGCTCAGGTGCTGCTACAGCTGATTGAACAGGTGCCACCAAAGGTCAGGCTGGTGTGAGTCCCCTCCCTCACTCTGTGTCTCTGCTGTGCTCACATGAAGGCTGACGATGCCAAAAATAAAAGGACGAGCGTCTGTCTGTGATGGGGCGTGTTTGTGAGCGCACACTTTAAACTCCGCACACAGCTGTAAAGCTTTAAACATGTTAGATTAAAGGTATCAGACTGAGCAGCACAGGATCCCTCCTCTGAGGAGCACCACCCCCCGTGCCCCCAACCACCCCCACCAGCTGTGGAGATATTTCAGTTTGTGGCTAAAACACACACACACACACAGAGTGGGAAACTCTGATAAAACAATACAGCTCCACTGACAAACACACACACTATTATCCAGGGTAGTAATTTCCTGATGGCAGCTGATTGGTCGGCAGCCCGCAGGCTGGCCAATTAGAGCTTGTAATTACAGAGGCCGTGACCTCAGCTCCCCTGTAATTAGTAAACCTCCATCTCCAGATCCTGATCCAGCATCTGAGACACACACACACACACACACGTTCTGAGGTTAGTGTCACTGGCTACAGGAAGTTAACTTTAACCTGCTGCTGCAGAGGTGTCATAACAGGCTCTGTGTGTGTGAGGAGCCCATACTTCTGGACTCATTGAGTAGCTTTGCATGATTAACAGTTCAAAATAATCCTTCTTTATGAAGACGAGCATCACACAGATGGCTGCCAATCAGTGCTCAGTAACATCCAATTAAAATCCTTGAATTTCACCAAACCTGGAGCTCCGCCTTCCTGGAGGCTCTGTTACTACGGTAACCTCACAGCAGCCATATTATTGGCCACATGATGTTATTAAAAGTGCTCTAAAGGGCTCCAACAGCACAAACACGGTCATGGTGTGTCACCATGCATCTGTCAGTCAAAGAGGCCACGCCCCTAAGAAAGCTAACATTAAGCCTTTAAACATTTTAACATGGAAGTCTATTGGAGCTGACTCACTGCTGCCTCTGCCCATCTGTAACCCTGACACTAAAACCACACGATGAGTCTCAAAAACAAACTCATCGGGCGTTTTGTCCCCATAAGGACTGTTGGTAGCGTTCTAATGTCTGGTCCCCACAAAGATATATAAACGTGTACTGATTCCCTCACACACTTTTCTGGCCTCAGGCTGAAGCTCCGTCAGCGCTGCAGAGACGTCTCGTTGGTTCTGAACCGTTCACAACTTTAATGTTCATGCGTTCATATTTAAAAAGCTACACAAAGATTACGCTCATGCTTATCATGACCTGGCTCGTGTGTATCTGATGTGTTTTGTCGCACCATGCAGTTTCTTTACTGAACAGCATCACGGGAGCTTTTATTCTTCAGCACTCGAGTTTTAATCAAACA